CGGTAATTGTTGCAACGGTAGCGACAATCTGGTGAGCATGATTTCAAATGCCACTGCACAAAGCAACAGTCTCCCGGAATTCGGCAACGCTGCTGACGCCGATGGCAGAAAAAACGATGCAGTTACCCAGTTGTTGCCAAGCGAAATGACAAATCGCTTGAATTATGTGCGTGGCGGAAATATAATACGCACTACTGCAAGCGCTGCGAGCAGTAGCAGCGTGAACAACAGTTATTATAACCAGCAACAAAAGCAACAACAAAGTAATCCAGCCACATTAGTAGCTAAAGCCTTTGGAGACGTTGTAAGCGATGCGCTGGTAGAAAGCGCAACACCAGTGAATTTTAATGGCAATGAAAACGCAATTAGCCCGAAATTGGCGCATGTTGGTGGTCGTTCGCACAGGAGCGTAATTGTCAGTCCGGCCATGCTCTCAGCCACCAAGATCGGCAGCAATGTTCCAGAACAAGGACAGAGCGTAGCTTGTAATGACAATGTTGATGCAGTAATCGTGCCATCGGCAGCTGTCGCAGCAAAATGCTCTGCAGATGTAGGGTTCGGCTGCGACCCATCTACAAATAGTGGCATTCGTGAAGGCTGTGGTGTTAGTGGAGGCGCCAACAAGCAGCAGTGTGGCGTTGAGGAGGCAACCGTGGAACATGTTGCCAGTTTGCAGGGCATCACGTCACACGAGACAAAAAAAGCACGTAGAGTACAAAAAGCCACGAGATGTTTAAATGGTAGTGGCAAACGCAAATAATAATGATAAAATATTTTAAATGTAATACATACATACTTTTACTGTAGTGTTTTTCCTTTGAATACATAAAATAAGGAATGTATAAGTAGAATGAGAAACAAGTGACGAAAATGTAAAAAAAAATCAGTGAACGAGTATGCTAAAAAATGTCACTAAGTACATGCATACATACTAATATAAAGAAAAGCAGTAAAAGCAATCGTGGTTTTCTATTAAAAAAATGTAAAAAGAAATGTAACATTAATTAAATACAGTTATATACACGTATTCAGTTGGAGATCATAAGTTCTGACGTCGAAGACGTCGTGATAATTTTTAATCCTAACTTTCCGTTGTAATTTTTTACTGAACACATTTTTAAAAACATTCTTTAAATATTTCACATACCAACCATGCTGCACACTCACAGATAGTACACATTAAATAATAACAAAAAGAAGAAAAAGAAAAAAGGCGTAAAAAAGGCAAACGGCAAGGCAGTGAACGTAGATTCTTGAAAATATGTTTTAAATCAAAGTATACGTACATACAATATGTAAATATCCAAAAATACAAAATAAAATATTTGAATTGGTTAAAATCAATAGCCGGAAATATCAGCAAACAACCAACTACCATTATTAATTGTGTGTTGTTCGCTACTTTTTTATTAATAATATTTGCGGCGAAAACGTCAATGTACTCATATTTTGATTATATTTTGCATAAGGCAAAGGCAAAAACAAAAATATAAAAAGAAAACAGAAACTACTGTAGTTTGAAACTAAATGGAAGATCATTTGGCGTTTTAACAGTATTGAAATAAAAATGATTTAAAGCCAATCTTAAAATGTTTTTTTTTATGCGATAGTATTCATTCGCCGATTGTTGAAAAACAGAGAGAGAGAGAGAAAGAAGGGTGTACTTTAGTAAAATATAAAACCAGGGCCGTAGCCAGTATTTTTTTTTGGGAGGCAAGGGCTTCTGGCAAAAGTTTTTTTTTAGTTTCACTTTTATTTCAACATATTTTGATCGAAAGAAAAAAACCTAATAAAAAATTAAATATTTCACACAAATAACAAAATATATAATCGATAACCGCATGAGGCTATTGCCTGAAAATTTGAAATGCGCTTAGTGGCATTGTGCTACTATGACAGCACGGCCGAGTAATCATAGTCAACTTATGTACAGTAGTCGGACAAAGTATAGTCGCACCAAATTTTCACAAGTTTTTGCTGTTATTTAATTTTGGTTAGTTTTTTATAGTTCATTCTTTAAAAACATCCGTATAAATACAAGTTTAGAGGCAATGTCACACGATTGGGTATTTACCAAAATTTGGTGCAAATCGTATCCCAATTGTGTACAAATCGTATCCCAATAGAAATATACTCGCTTACCACATTTCAGTCGGATATCAAGAACGCTGAGGAACTCGATGGCGTTCAACCAGGCAGACGGACGGACACGGCACCGGACGTGGACGGGACAGAACTTTGTCTGCCTCGGGAGACCCGCACTATAATAGCCCAACTTCGCTCTGGCTATTGCAGCAGGCTCAACAGCTACCTGAGCAGAATCAACGAGGATGTGCCCAACCAATGCCCGGCATGTGGAGAGTCGCCACATGACTCCCGGCACCTCTTCACATGCCCTGAGAATCCCACTCAGCTAACGCCCCTGTCCCTATGGACAGCCCCTCTGGAAGTAGCATACTTCCTGGGCCTCCTCCTAGCTGAAATAGACGACAACGTTGATGGACGAACCGCCCCGAACGCTTAGTAGCCGCTACAACAACAACAACAATGGACACGGCTAAACCGACTCAGCTCATTGTTTTGATCATTTTGGTATACTTTTTTTCATAGCTCTGTGTATCGTTTTACGTTACAGGCATAGATAGAACTTTTAACGATGACCAATACCATGCTAACTTTAAAAACAAGGAAAATATTCCAGGAAAGTATTCCAACCCAGACAAACTACAATAGCAACCATTTTTTATGGGTTACAAGCCATAAGGGAACATAATCACATGAGATAGCTAGCCAACTAGCCGGGGAAGCGGCGGCTACAACTTTAACAGGCGCCGAGTCCTATCTGGCAATATGTAGGTTGGGCGGCGCAACAAAATTACGCCAGACAAAGTGCTTATTTGGGGAGACATAGCTTAAAACGAATCCAACTTATAATAGTTCTTCAAAGTAAAAATCGTCACAGGTAATCTTAAAGGACACTGCAGACTGAAGGTTTACTTGCACAAACTGGATATTTGGACAAAAGGTATCTGGCGTTTCTGTGGCTCGACGATAGATACACCTTTAAACCATCTACATGGTCGAATGCGATGCCATTTCCAGGAGGGCGCGAGCGAAACCTAGACGTTATTTATGTGGCGATCACATTGAAGCTCTTCTGATCTTTTTGAGAGCTTTAAGTTTAATAGATGTGAGCAGAGTGCACAACAGACTCCATGATTTAGTCAGTACTACTTTTAGACCAAATCTGACTATTTCTGATTAAATCCTATGGTATTGGAACATACTTAATATATGAAATAAACAGCTATGTTGGTATGCAAATATGTATGCACAACCGCGTCAAATTCTACGTAAGCCCATTTAACCGAACGTTGACATGTAAACTAAAAACAAAACAAATTCGATAATAAATCAAACTAAAATAAATGCTGGCCATTAATTTGGTTTTTCTTCCTTCTGGCATACCACATGTACGAATGCATGTTTGTATATCAGGCATTCAGCTACATCACGATACCTAAATGTGTTGCAAAAGTGATAGTTCCTCGAAAGGCTGAACCATTTTTTGCTTGTATTTTTGTTTGCTTTTCAAAACTAAAAATATCCCTTTAAAGTTCGCTGCTAACTGCAACAGAATATAAGATAAAAAATTTAAACACAAAGCATATCAAAGCGAGACCAGACAAGTTGTGTGCACACATACATACATACACTGCCTACAAAAAGTATTGGCACAGCTGCTTTTTTACAACCGTAGAACTTCTAAGTAGCTACGAATTACAAAAAAAAAATGTTCGAAACAAAAAAATTTCTCACGAATCAATGCGATTTTTGACTAACTCCGAGCTTGCATTTTTATACTAGAATTTAATGGGCTACAAAACTGCATACCCAGAAAATTCTAAAAAATCTGATTAAAAAGTTGAAAATTTATAGAATTTTCACGAGTTTTGCACAAAGTTTATAAATTATATTTTTGTGTTTTTTTGTTGTTGAATGTACCATATTTTTATAAAATTAATAGCGGAAAAATATTAGAATAGTAATTGGTGCATATACTGTGCAAAATTCGCTGTGCCAATACGTTTTGCCGGCAGTGTACATACTACATATATTGTATTTAAAAATAATTTTAAATTAACGCACATATTGGCTTTTCTTTCGTTTGCGCGGCGGGTAATTAGCTCGCAGAGTTGCCACTATTTTCACTAGTTTTCAAGGCGTATTCGACGTAGTAGCCTTTAAAAGTGTCTTCTGTAGGAAAAAATTGATAAATATTTAATAATTGTGAGGGATTAATAAGAGACAAAGATTCAAAAGAAAAAATGGAAAAAAAGGCGAAATTTTAAAGAGAGACAGGTGGGCGCGTTTGGTGAAGAAGAATGATGCTAACATCTCCGTGATACTGTGGAAAATACTGAAGGCCCTCATGAGCCAACTAATGATTGGGCATTATAAGTGTGGCTTCAATATTGCCCAGATTTTGATAGTACATCAAATCTTATCAATTACATAGCCATAAATTGGAGATTATTAAAGCAGAATCAGCTAAACTGACAACTTGTGGTAAGGCTATTATTGAGGTAATTTTCATGATTTCAATTAGTATACATAGAGATTGTTTTTTTTTCACCCGTTTCAGACAAACAAAACAAGAAGTAATTGTAGATTGTTGCGAGGAATTTAAGATGCCCTACAAAAGTAGGCAAACTATTCATTGAGCAAATTAATTAGTAGAATTTCATAAGTAACATGTGCCAAGGGATTTCTGCTTCAATACAAAAAAATTAAATACTTTAGTACTAAATCAATTAATAAAAAAATTATAAAAAAATAAAAATATAAATAAAGCACGCACACACAATAACGAAGTTTTCTCGTATTTTATGGCACCAAAGTTTTCATTGTAGGGTATTTGAAACCCCAAGTATTTAGCTCACTTAGTTTCTGCTTCTTGTTTACTTTATATTGCTCAATTTCGAATCGATTGCGGTTGCTGTAGACAATAACTAAGGAACGTTAAGCATTTTAGTATTTTATATAAATTTTTTATGCAGCTATGCAAAGTTACAGTGAAAAAGTAAAAATTGTTAAAAATGCAGGTTTTCCAAGGTTTGTGGAGATACGAAATTTAGTGGCGAATTATGGTAAAAAAACTACATGATAATTGAAATAAACTTAAAAAAAAAATAATAATAAACAGCATAGCAGCTAAAGAAAAATGTTGGGAAAACCGGAAAAGGGCAATAACATATACAGTGAAACCCGCTTAAGTACCTAACCCGCTTAAGTAACCAACATTTTTGGACACGGTGAATTTTTTAATATAATCAGAATAAAATCCCTCTCTTAAGTACCTCCCCGCTTATTTACCCAACCCGCCTAAGTACCTCAATTTTTCGTGCCCCATTTACAATTTTACTTATAATTTTCCCCTTTTAAGTGCTCTTTTAAAATTCCTCAAAATATTTACGTATTTTCAAATTCGGTAAAAGAATTCTAAAAAATCAACGGTAACTTTTAGCCACTTGAAACTTGCACATTATTGCACTAAAATTGAATGGACTATAAAACAGTATACTCAAAAAACACTTCTGAGAAAAAAGTTTGAAATTGTGATGAATTTTTTTAAGTGTTCTACAAAATCTTAAGCTTAGGTTTATATGGTATTTGTTAGGGAATGAACTGCACTGATTGAAAAACCTTAAAAATTAATAAATAAACATAAGTGGCAAACAATATCATTTGAATTTGGTACAAAATGATATGTCCAACCTTGACTTTTTAAACATTTTAATTGTTGTAAAAATGACAGACCATTGCACTAAATATTTTTTTAATAAAGTTTTTCTTCAATTGTTTATGTGTTTAAATAATGCTACGATTTTGGTTTTAAACTACGTATACTTCATTAAATGTTGTTATTCAAGTATTTATGTAAGTTAACAAGAAGATGTAACTACATGAGTAATTATGTTCTCTTAAGTACCCGCATCGAGGTACTTAAGCGGGTTCCTTTAAGTACCCAACCCGCTTAAGTACCTCAAAAAGCTGACATTTTTCGTGAGGTACTAAAGCAGGTTTTACTGTAATAAAATTTAAAAAAAAAATATAAAATTTGCAATAATGGCAGGGACGCTTTTTTAAATTTCTCGGTAGCATCTAAATTCAGCATATAAGAGTTTTTTTTTTAACAGATCCACGGGAATAATCGAAATATTGAATTAGCAAAAGTTTGGTAGTATTTGGTGAGCTTTAATTTACTGACATTATGGTGGAACTGAAATCTGGTAGATAAGCACTAGAACGGGGTACCTGAGGTCAATGAAATAATCCATAAAAAATAAAATTGTTTCCTCAAGACAAACAATACTATACAATACTTTGAGATCCGACGGTGAATGCCGAAAATATGACGAAACATGTAAAAAGGCCTGACGTTAGGGCGGTACGAACTGAGATCTGGTGTGAGAGTATTAGAACATGGTACTTGAGGTCAATGAACTTTGTAATGAAAAGTGTTACGTGACAATAGACTCAATGGTTATTATTTTCAACGGACTCGACTTGGTCATATTTGTTTCTAATTTCAACGCTTAGTAAGGAAAACAAAAGTAACTAGACTCTTTATATGACCTCATACGGGGGTATTCCGACTAAGTCAGTTAGAAATCTTTGGAAACTTCCGACTTGGTATTTATCTGTGCGTATCGGTTCCGCCTCCGTGTGACTATTTTCGCGGGTCGTTGTTGACTGAAGAGTTGGAAGATGTTGTTTTGTAAGGAAGAGCTACCGTTGTAAGCTACTAGATTTCTGCAGCTTCAAGTAGAGGTTACTGCTATTAGCAAAGGAAGTCGTCTGAGCACTTTGTCGATGATATTAGATAAATTTTATTAACCAAACGCGTTGCTGATTTGCTTCCCTATCCAATTCGAAGGTCTGAAGATCTGAAAAATTTCGGGCTTTTTTTTTGTCGGCCAGAATTTCAAGCTCTTCGTATTTCAGCCTCTCTGCTTATGGCGGCAAATACGTCTCCGTAGGACGGTGCCTTGCACGCGTGATATCGAAATGAATAAATTCTTACTAAACATTTGTAATTTTTTCTAAAAATTTCAGCAAACTACTGGCCACCTCAGAACTATCACCAGGCGATGTTATTCTGGAGGAGCAGCCACTACTCGTGACGCCTCATTGGGACTGCGAACAGATGCGTTGCAGCCAATGCATGCAGGACTCCTTTGTGATGTGCAAGTAAAGTGACGCTCAGCCAGCATGTAATCACTCATCAACTCTTATCACTTTCAATGCACGTATTTTCCACACACACACACATACACACAAATACACTCATATACATTTCTACATATACAGGAAATGTGAGTTCTTTCCGCTCTGCATCGATTGCCCCACCCACAATGCCTATGACTGTGATTTCTTTTGCAATGCAACGGCCGTTGCTGGAATTTCCAAAAATCTACTAGTTGAGAACTACGCGATATTGGGAGTGCTTAAGTTGCTGCTGCTCATGGAGAATCCACAAACCAGCGAATATTGCGCTCCACTTGGCACAACGCCAGGCGCCGCTGTTGTGGATAGCGAAGCGTGGCAGGAACGTGAAGTTCAAATCATCACACCAATATTGAAATCGGGTCTAGTGAACGCTTTCAAGCGGGTCAAGGTCACCCACGATTTGCTACACACGCTTTGCTGGCGCATCGACGCCAACGCTTTTGACGTCACAGCAAACGATGGCAACACCCTGAAGGGGGTTTACGTGTGTGGCGCACAGCTGCCACATAATTGTGTGCCGAACACTGTGGTCACCTTCGACGAAGGTACGTTTCGCCTCAAGTTGTATGCATCGGTGCGCATTCGTGCTGGCGACGTCATCTACAACTGCTATACGAATCCATTAATGGGCACCAGCCAACGACAACACGAGCTACGTCTCACGAAGGGCATCGAATGCACGTGTGAGCGCTGCAGTGATCCGCTCGAGCTGGGTACGCACATGAGCTCGCTGAAGTGTCAGATATGTGCCGCCGGTTTTGTAGTATGCAGCGGCAGCAGCAGCAGCAAGCGCAGTGGGGAGTGGCAATGTAACAGTTGTGCAGCCACTATGGCGACGCATGAGGTGAAGCAACTACTGGTGGAAGTGGGCGAGTCGCTGTTGGAGACCAATAGTGAGCTGCTCGCGTACGAGTGTTTGTTGGAGAAGTACGGCGCGCGTTTTCATCAGAACCATTTTGTGTTGGTGGAAATCAAACAGAATATTGCGTCTATACTGCGCGCCATACTTATGAACCCTATGTGTGTGCCAGGTAAGGATTTGTTAGAGCGCAAATTGCAGCTGTGCGAGGAACTGATGCCGTTGGTGCGTGCAGTGCTGCCGGGTGTGTCGAAATTGTATGGCATTGCGTTGTATGAATATCTGTTATCCTTCATGGAACTGGCCGAGTTGGTTTATGAGGACAAAGAGGTGGGAAATGCAGCGCTGATTTTTCAGGTGAAAATACGTTTTGGGTAAAGCAAAGGAAATTTTACAAAAAAAAAAATTTGTATTTTTTTTATTTGCTTAGGAAAAATTAGAAAATGCGCGAGATATAGCTGCGAAAGCTAAAGAAATGTTGCGTTTCGAGCCGAGTAATTCGCCTGAAGGGCACTTAGTGAGTCGCATAGCCATGGAGCAGAGGCGGATCGAAGACAATTTGAGACAGCTGAATACCCAGCGAAATGGAGCATAAAATTTTATAACATTTGAAAATAGATTTTGAATATTGGTCATTAGGAATATGTTAAAAATAAAGTTGAGCACTAAGTGTTTGGTTCAACAAGCTAAAAATTCTGCAGTGTACTTGCTGTAAATTTTTAGATCAATGCAGTCAAGCTGCTAAAATAAGTTTAGTTTTCAAAAATTATGTAATTTCTCACTAGATTTATGCTATGTGGCAAAAAAAAATTTGGGGACTCACTAGAAATTCTTAAACAGAATATTTCAAGCCATCAGAACATCCTCATGCAATGAAAATATGTGTGATAAAAATAACCGTTATGTAACATTATAAAAACTTTACGATCTTAAGACACTTACGACATTTAGTGAAACCCTTAAACATTTCTTTAAAAGAATATAAAAATTGCAAAATATATTATTTTTTTCGATTTATTTGGACGATCAGATAGTACAACTAACCCTTTATTCATGTATCAGCAATAACTACAATGTTTTATAATTTTAACAAAAGATTTAAGGCGCAAACTTCGAAGTCGTCATTTTCGATTTTCACGCAGAACAAAATTTTAATTTACCAATTTTAAGATTTTTCGTTATAAATCGCCGCAAAGCTGTTATTTTTTTCGCAATTTCTACCAAAGAGAAACCTTAAGCCCAATAAATAAATCTGAAAGCAACTATTGAACAAATTTAGATGCAAGCAAAAAAATTATTTTTGATTGAAAATAATAAAAATCCTTAAAAGCGATAAAAAATGATAGAGAAATTAAAAATCAATATTTAATAATTCTTGTAAACGAAATTGAGACTTAAAAAATAATGAGGTTGTCCAAACCCCTAGAAACTATTCCAAATGTTAATCAAAGTTGTAAACGATCCGAGTGCCATATTCCATCTAAATGCATGCAGCCATTTCCGAGTGAGGGGAGAGAGAGTTCCCGCATAGTGTCGGTTTTTAATATCATCAAATTTCAAATCACCCTGTACCGATAAAAAAGATCTGATTTCAAAAATTAAAATCTTTTCGCACATCTGCAGGCTAAGGTCTTTATTTCGACCTCTCATTTTTGAAATTCGAAAGAAGAGTACAAATGTATGACTTTGACACGCATATTTTAATATTTCGTAAATCTTGGGTATAAGTTAACAAAATTAGACACCCGTATTGTAATATTTCATATAATTTGTATACAAGTTAATTATATTAAACTTTTCAAATAGGTGGCAACCCTCTTCAAAATATTTTCAAGCTAAAACCTTCTTAAATAACCTTCGTTTGACATCGTGATACATATTCTAATAAACTGATGAACTAAGTTGAATTTGATTTATTGCACATGTGGTAACCCTCCAAAATTAATTCAGAAATAAATCAATTTCAAACCCATTTCGAGTGATACCAATATTTTAATAATTCATTAAACTTATTAAACAATTTGAATCTAACTTTTTAAACGGGTGGCAACTCTCTTTAAGCACCTCAAAAATATTCGTATGTTAAAACTAAAGATTTCTTAACACTCTGAGTACATGTGTGAGGTTACATAAATTATTTTCTAGAGAGCAAAATCATTCATATTTTAAATTTGTTCTCTTTTTTATATTCAAAGCAATCGCATTTCTGGCTATGTAGTATGTTTCAGGACGAATGGATAAGGCTTGGGCCAAGAGCTTGTGTGAGCAAATCCAATTTTCGGCAAAATAACGTTACGCGGTTTTGTACTTTAAACGACGGTATGTTCTACATTAAAACTCAAAAAATGAAGTCTGAGAGTGAAGTTTGAAAAATTTAAACACAACAAAAATAAAAATTTTAGTGAAAAAAATATAATTTCAATTAAATCTGATGAAAACTCAAAAATAACATTTTTATAAAAAAAATTTTATAAAAATGTAGATGAAAACTTTTCCGATGAGCTTTGAAAAATATACTAGGGTAATTTACGTTCGCTTTTTCTACCAAATACTTTCAAGACCTTAAAAATGAAATAAGAAAAAAAATAAAAAATTTTAATTCAAAGAAATATTAAAAATCATAAAATAATTTATCAAACGGTAAGAAAAATTAAAAATCGTCAATATTACAAAAATTTCGATTCAAAATTGTCGTACAATTTTAATCGATTTTACATTATTTTCATTATTTTTTTTTTTTAATTAAACTAATTAAATGTTTTAGCTATACAGCATTTTTTGGGCAAAACTATCATTTAATAAAGTCAGAATTTTCTCGTATTTACATATCACACAAAATGTTCAAAGGTTACACAACTCAAAATTACACGTTCGTCAAAAAATACGAAAAACTATTTATTAGCCATGCTAATCAAACGGGCAAGGAAGACTTAACCCTAGGTTTTTTCAACAAATTATAACAAAAATTTGCTCCAGCTTTTGCTGAAAGGTAAGTAAAAGCTCTGTGTACATTTTTAATGCATACTTTCAAAAATGCCAAATTTTGAGTTCTGTTGGTTTTGAAGATCGTGTACGATATAAATATGTACATATCTCTAGTTTTAAGAAAATGCTGACTTCAAGTTTTTGGAAAATAAAATAAATACATACTATAACACACATTTTCATTATGCTTCCGAAACATTGGTATGTTTACAAAGTAAAGGTGGTTTTTCATTAAAAAAAAGATACTCGTAAAAACACTTATTATTTTTTTTAAGGAAGTTGTGAAATATGAGTATGCCACAGAATTTTGTAATTAATTTTTATTTTCAATTTCGAAAAAAAAAACAAAATAATCAAAACACTTCCTTGGCAAAAACTTAACAATTCTTACAGGGCGAGCTTAATTTTTCTGAAAGTAGGGTGGTATGTTAGGGGGTAGAAACTGAGATCTGGTGGGTAAGTACAAAAACGGGTTGTTTGAGATCAATGAAATTCGGAACGATACAATTTTCGCCTAGAGACTGAAGATTTTTTTTTTTGGTATTGTGTGTGAGTGTACTTCCGCTATAAAATATCTGTTTTGTTCTACTAATTAAATCCAGTAGCTCGGAAGATAACGCTAGAAACTATACAAACTATTTACATCGTAGGTATGCCGGTTTTTTCTTGTTTAAATTCCATCCACTCCAGTACCATTGACGATTGCGGTAGTGCCATCATCGAGTTTTAGTCAATGCATCTGTATTTTGTCTGTGCCTTTATAAGAGGTCTCATGCATGACCAAATTCGATTTAGATCTCCCATTTACTAATATAAGACAAGTTTTTCCAGTCACAGTATTTACAAGGCCTTTAAACAATGAACCATCATTTTCTGGTACTTTCGACATTCAGCCTAATTGGTTCAGTCCTAGAATAGATAAAATTGTAACGCGGAAACAGACAAACAACGAAATTTGACGGAAATGATTCAGTGCTGTCTAAATTTCAAATTAATACATCATAAACTTGGATCCAAGTTTTAGGTAATTCTGATCGAGATGGAGGATAAAATATCTCTTTAAAGGGGTGTATGATATTAGAATAGGAATAAGGATAGGCCAGCTAGGCTGACCCGTGAGATCGCACATAGACCATTAGTCGTTCCTTACTTTTGCAGAGAAAGTGGAGCATAAAGCATAAAGCTGCGTCATGATGCACTTTTCAACGAGGTTTTACAAATTGCTAGTCCTGGTCCCCCTTCAGTGAGAAGCAGAAAGCTTTTCGAAATGCCTTCCTAGAATGTACAGAATTTTTAACATTAATTTTACGGCATCTTAGGGTTAAGAGTTGGTTTCTTAAATATGTATTTCGGCACTGGTATAGTACTTCGAAATCACAGTTGCCTCTGGTGGCTTTACATACATACATATATATGTTATGTAAATTTACTCTATTTAACACACTGCTCCCAATTTTAATACCCAGTGCATGCAGTTACAAACAAACATACTACATATGTATGTACCCATGAATGTACTTACAGTGGAGGTCAAAACATATGGAACTGAAACGAATTTTTTACATAGGCTGGACACTAACAGCTTTTTAAGGTAAAAAATATAATAAAACCGTCTGTATGGTGAGTACTTTTTCTTGGAAGATCCTACGATCGTTCACTGACAATTATTTCAGCTTTATATGCTGCTGAAATTTAGTTTTAGGATATTCGATTGAAATTTTATCGGAAAATTGTTTTTTCCAACATTATAATTTAATTTTACTAATTTTATAAACCTTAAGTAAAATCTTCAAAAGCAGCAGGTATTTCAGTCACTTTTGAAAAGCACTTAAAATTGCGTATGTTTTAAGCGAAAATTTTGAACATTTCTAATTTTTATGAGACTACTTAATATCATTCTTTAAAAAATCTATAGAAATAGTACGCTATTGATAAGATATGCATATGTAGATTTTAGAAACTTAGACGTGGTTCCATATGTTTTGGCCACCACTGTATACAAGTGCTATGTATAAATGTTCATTGTAATTTGGCAGACGACAATTGCATCTGTAAAATTAAATTTACGATCGTGCGTACAAACTGCAACAGACAAATTACTTGTGCCATCAAATCGCTTCTATTCCATCATTTTGTGGGCATACTTGATGGGAACGTAACGCACTCGCGAAAAGTTGGCTAATACTATAGTTGGTAGCATGTAATAAAAGTGTCCTAGGATAACATCGATTAAGTTAAAAGAGTGCTAAACATTTGTTACAAATGAAATAAATGAAACAAGAAATACATAATCACATTTTTTTAATTTGCAATAAATAATGCGCTGAGCTGCAAAATATCGGAGCAAAAAACTACCGGTGCGAAAACTGAATAGACTAAACCAATTAAGACAATGTAGTTTGAGCGTTGTGTAATACAAAATTGCGAATTCTTAAATTAACTTAAAAAAAATTATTTAATCTACAAATATGGACGACTTCGCAAAGAAGTGTACAATTGAGTGCAATGATGAATTGGGAAGGTACTTTGCCAGCACCCGATATCCAATTTTTACTTATGTATGTACAAATGTAGATGTATATGGCGCGTTCCATACCAAAACTGACGGGGTTCACCCTGCATGCGTTTAATTTGTTTAAAATTTTTTAGGGTTGGTGCATAAAAAAAATAATAAATAACTTTGAAATTTGAGCTTGATTAATACATTTTTAAAAACTTTACAGCGCAAAAACAAAAACAAATCGATTTAATAGTTTTTCAAATATCTCGAGAACGGGCGCGGTAAAAATTTGAAAAAAAAATCACACATACACACATCAAAATTCTCTAACTGCATACCCGAAAAAATTCGAATAAAAATTTCAAAATTTGTAGATTTCTAGATTACTCAGCTTCGGTGTAAAAAAAATTCATAACTCAAATTATTGTAGAGTGCAACCCATAACAGTATACCTAAATATTGCGCAATACTCAGAGCTACCATTGTGATTTTTTTTAATTTTTTCTGAGATGGCATATTTTTGAAACCTAATTTATTTATAAAAAAAAATTGTATGTATGTATGGGAAAAATTTTTCAAGTAAACATTTTTTTTTTAATATTTCTTTTCATAGAGAACTTTGATGTATGGATGTGTGATTATTTTTCAATTTTTTCCTCGCCCCGTTCTCACGATATTTGGCAAACTATTAAATCGATTTGTTTTTGTTTTTGTGCTGTAAAGTTTTTAAAAAGCTCAAATTTCATATTTTCTTATTATTTACGTTTATGCATCAACTCTAAAAATTTGAAACAAATCAAACAGATGAAGTGTGAACCTCGTCCGTTTTGGTATGGAACGCCCCATATACTATGAACATATGTGAATCCCATTTAGAGTCCCTGTTTTTCTATTTTTGAGTTACTAGCTACATAACACATAGTTTTATTATTATTTCTTAATATTTACATATTTCATATTTTTTTGCAGATATGTCACCGCAGCAGTGGACATGAAAGCCGGCGAAACTTGTCTGCTAGAACAGCCAATATTGCTGCTGGCTCTCAATGGCGATAGCCGATGCTCGAATTGCTTGAAACTAACTAAACAATTTTGCAGGTATTAATAAATTTATAAGGAAACGAAAATAAACATTTAGGGGATTCACAAGTCGTATTAAGCGTCATAATATCTTAATGTCTGTACTATATAATAAGAGCCAATAATATATTTCCTATTAGTCTTGTGCATCCTCTAATTATTTCAAACTTTTTAATGCAAGCCGCTGTGGTGTGTTGGTTAACAGTGCGCGCTAAAAAAAATATATAAAAAATGTAATTTCTGGTTCTCATAAAAATACAATCGCCGTCCGGGGTCGACGTAAAACTGTAGGTCCCTCCCCTATGTATAACAACATCAAGACGCACGCCACAAATCGGAGAAGAAGCTCGGACCAACACTAACTTATGTATGTGTAAGCGCCTTTTTTTTTTTTACAAATATTTATAAATGTAAAAGTGGAGGCGTAGGTGGAAAGTGTAAGGCAGAGCTGCTGCTACAGTTCATGCTGTGCGTTTTAAAGTTGTCGCAAAAATTAAAGGGCCTAAAATATTATACCGCTCATGAACGCTCCTGAGAGGCGACCTCTTTAGAAAAACCACTTTTGTTGAATATTACTCGAACCACGAAGCAACCCCGGCATTCAAGAGACGAGAGTTGACGAATATGTTGTATCTGAAAAACATTACGTTTTAGGATTATCTCTAGTTCAGCAAATTACCGCTTCTGCAGTAGGAACTGCTTGCTGAGCTTGATGTTGTGCGTCCCATTAAGTAAGATGGCTTACTAGAAACATCAGAATGCCTTTCATGGCGCTGCCAAGCGAGGTATTCTGAAGGACCAAACGAACAAAACAGCGCAGTATATTTTGCCAAGAACATTTCTTTTTATTTGTGCCAGGTGATGACATTGTTTAGCTAGGCAGCCCGTTTTCGTTGCCGTGACTACTGTATTTATACGTATACTATTCGAAAGAAGTCCTTTGTTGGAAAACCTATTCTTCCTGCGTGGATTTCCATTATCATCCTGAGCTCAGCGCGCTACATAAGAATGGGGGCAATGGACGTAGTCCAAGCCAGATTTGACGTACTATCCCACATTTTGGTTCTGTAGCCTATCTTCTGTGTTCCAGTTTAATGAATTAGGTTTTAAGCCACAGTTTGAAGATTGGAGGTTAGGATGCTTATTAATATGTTAAAATCTAAATTTAATATGGGACACCGTTTTATTTCGTTCTATACACAAATTGTACATAGTTGTACAGTTGTTTAAGTTTAATCTTCATTTCAATGATTCAAGCTCCTATTAACGGACCGAACTGACAGTCTTTAGACAAGTAGAAAAAATGCTAAGCCAGGTTCAGTTTTCGTAGTTAATGAATGATTAAACCATAAGACGGTATAGTGTTAAGCATCTACTTGCATTCGAGTTTATACCCAGTAGATTTAAAATTTTAAATAGATTCATCTAACCTAACTTTCGAAAGCTGCTAATAAAAGTCTAATTCGTATCAGCACCTGCCAAGTCTTTCTACTCTGCGACAATTGTACATCACACAATGAATACGACTGCCATTTACTTGCCGACATGGAAAAGTTACGCATAGACTTGCTCAGGGAAAATCCTAACACGTATGGACTTCTCAAAAGTTTACTTCTGCGCGAAAATCCAGCAAATGCTGCATACTATGAGCAATTATTACAAATGGAGGCGCATTTAGAAGAACGGCGCAACACTGAAATTTGGAAAGATTCGCAAAAAGGCGTCGTCGAGCCCATACTTAACGCAGGTTTGACAAAATATCTGAAAGATGGAAAGTCCATAGATGTAACACTGCTGCAAAAACTTCTGGCCATCGTTGATGTTAACTGTTTCGAGGTACGAGCGCCGGATGAAGGCCAGTTACGTGGCATCTATCCGCGTGCAGCACTCTTAGCGCACAGTTGTATATCGAATGTTCAGTCATGTATCGATGAAAGTTATCAGCTGAAAATGTTTGTCACGCGTGATGTGAGCAAAGGAGAAATGCTCTATAATTGCTACACAAATGTGTTGTTGGTATGTTGCTAAATCTTAAATTGCCTACATATACACTGGTGGAAAAATAAATAGGGACACAACATTTTTTTTAAATCTTTCCAATTTTCCTTTAGTTTATTTAATATTTATTATTTTTTTATAAAATTATAGCTCATTATCTAACAAAAACCATATATATACCTATTTCAAACTTTATGAAAGAATTATAAAAATTCTGCATAATTGCATCTAAATTTTCAACTCTTTAATCAGATTTTGAAAACTTTTTCGAGTATGTAGTTTTATAGCCCATTAAATTTTAGTAGAATGAATTTTCTTCGATACAAAGCATGTTAAATTATTTTTTGTATGGAAAAAAGAATAAGATTTATCAAAAATCAACCAAATTTTTTAGAAAATTCACACTTGCACTTTACTCTACTACAATTTAATGGGCTATAAAACTGCATGTTAAAAAAAAATTCTAAAAAATCTGATTATAAAAGTTGAAAATTTTAATGCAATTTTGCTGAATTTTTATAATTTTGGCACAAAGTTTGAAATATGAATTTATATCGTTTTTGTTAGATAATGAGTTATGTAAAAAACATAATAAATATTAAGTAAACCAAAGAAAAATAAGAACAACTTGCTAAAATTTCGTGTCCCTATTTATTTTTCCATCACTGTATAAGAATAAAGTTAATAATTTTATCGCTTCAGGGCACCGACGAGCGGCGTAATATGCTAAAGGTGGGCAAGTATTTCGACTGTAAATGTGAACGCTGTGAGGACCCCACCGAGCTGGGTTCACATATGAGCAGTTTTATGTGCGCGCGTTGTGCCGAGAATAAGCGAGAGGGGGGTTTCATTGTAAAGCAGATGAGGAAGCAGTATGCGGTGCAGAAGCCGCAGCCACAGACGCAACAGCAATCATCGAAAAATCTCCCTAAGCAGGCGTGGGTGTGGCAATGTCTGCAGTGTGGGCATACGCTACCGGTCGATACTGTAGACCAGCTGGTGGAACGGGCCAAAGAAGAAATGTTTCATGCCAAAGATGATATTACACGTTATGAGCTCTTGCTGGCCAAACTCACGCGCTACTTTCATCCCAATCACTACCTATTGCTGGATATCAAGCAAAATATTGCGGCGATTTTGCGCTCCATACTACAAAATTTCACATTGCAGCCGGGCCGGAAGGTTTACGAGCGCAAAGTGCGACTTTGTCAGGATATATTTGGTGTTTTACAGATTATTCTACCAGGTATTTCGCGGTTGAAAGCGATTGTACTCTATGAAATGGCTAATACATCGGCAGAGTTGCAACGCATGCGATACGAGGAAAAGGAGTTGCAGAAATCGGAGCTTGTCGTAAGTTGCAAGAATTTTAGTGTATAGCCTGTGTTCTCAATTTCAATTGCTTTTGCGAAACTGGCTGCTATTATTTTTTTATTTTAATTATTATTATCATTTGATTATAAGAGATTGAAATCTGAGATCAGAATGCAATAAATGTTTAATCTAAGTATTATTTTAAATAAGTTCGAAAAACGTTATGGGTACTAATTGACTTCCGGTTGATTGGTTAATAATATGTACTATCGAAAAGGGATATACCTTTAATTCATTCTCCGGTTAATTGAAACAAAATTTGTGCAATTTTTTAAGTGCAATTAAGCGGCGAATTTCGTAATATGTATGTATTTATTATTTAATTTATTTTTGTTTTTTATTTTTGTAACTTGCAGGAGCTTTTGAAACGAATAGAAATGATGCTACGTGAATCAATACGAATGTTAATTTATGAACCCCCCGAGACGCCGGAGGGTCAAATGACAAAGAGTATGTTGAAAGAGCTAAAGGATCTGCAGAACGACATTAAGTATTTGGATGAAAACTAAAATGAAAGTGATGTAGATAAATTTGGAGAAATTTTCCGAAAGTACGACAAAATTAGTTTCATAAAATTTTATTATGTATAAAAATATGTACATAAATAGCAAATATAATAAGGATTTTAAACTAAAAAAATATTGTTACTTTGGAGTTAGAATTTATGAAATCGATACAAAAAAACAACTGCTTTGGATTCTGCATGTTCGACATCAGCCAATAAAAAATATAAAAAAAAACATACATAAATAATAAAAAATAAAAAGAATATTAAAAAATAACCAAAAAGCAAATATAAAAAAAAATCAAAAATAAAAAAAAAAATCAGGAGCGAATCAGAAGTGAATCTCCTAAATGTAAAAATCGAGAAAGTTGTAGCAAAATTATAACTTTCCTCCTTGAAAGAAACAGTTTACGTTCGCTACAAACTTAAAAAAGAATTAAAAAAATACGATATAACAATTTTTTTTTCTTTTTGATTATGTATGATTTTTCTGTTCTTCAGAAAGGGTTGGTGTATTTTTTGTTTTGGAACGAATTTTCGTCATCCCATGAAAAATTTAGTTTGGGGACAAACCTGTTTCGGTATTGTGCCATCTTTAGTGTAATTTTTCGTTCTGAACGAAAAGGGATTCGTTCCAAAACTCATCACATATGACAAAACAAAAGCGGCCGAAGCAGCTCCAACCTAGCAAACAAACTTAGGAATTCGACCCATACAATAATAAAAATAATAAAATTTGTGAAACAATTATTTAGCGGCAGTATGATAAAAATTGTGGTGTAGAAAGGTCTTGAAGGTCTCGAAACCTTTAACTTTCAAAATATGATTTCGAGAAAAAAAATAACCCTGTAATTTGTATTAACAGTAAAAAACATTAAAAAGTTCATTGATATATTTAAAAACTTAATAAAGTAGCACAGTAAAATAATCGATTTAAAGTTTACGGTATTCAGTTTGTTCAATTGTCAATAGATATTCACATTCATTTTCTTTTTATAGTATAACATAACCTTAAATCCATTTAGTGTAAACCTACATATAGCACACGTTCTTCAAAAGGAGCACAACTAAAAAACAAAAACTTAGTAGATTTTTTGCATAAATCAATTCGTAGTATTTATGTATATCCAATTAATGCAAATATTTTTTTCTTCATTATTATATTTTCTAACTATAAAACTACTGCCATACCTGTTTTTGTATTATTGCCTTTTGAAAATGGTGTGCGAAAAGAACATTATTGTTTCTTTATGGAGTGATTAAATACTTAATAGAAAATCAAGTTCTTTAGCTCCAAATTCTTTATAAACTCTGTATTTTATTGAAGATTATAACTAGTTTTATACTGTAGCAGTTATTTCTAAGTTCTAATAGGATTTAAATGAGTAATAACTGGACTTTCGTACAAACGATATGTACATAAATATAACTTACCCCCATTTGTTTGTGAATGAGGTAGAACTTCGTAAATTAAGTAAAAATATATTTTTTTATTAATGTACGAGATTCTAACGCATTTTTTTTTAATAAAAAATAGTGGTGGTAAGTTCTAACATGATCGCCAGTGTATATCTAATATTAAAAAGTGCACTTTGGATTTTCACTTATACTGTAAATCGCTTAATTTTCACCTGAAATATTTGTTAACAATTCAATTAACTTAATAGCTGCCATGAAACGCGACATATTGTAGTTGCCGATGTTGTTGTTGTTGTTGACGCTGGAATTTTCTTTATATGTCGCACCTTCGACACATTCGTCTAGTAGCTGCACCAAATTCGGATATTTCACCTCCATTTCCGCTGGTATTGGTTTTAAGAAGCCTTTTGTTTGATCCCCTTTCAAGTCCTCGCGAATAAAGAGACAAGACTCCAGCACATTCAAATCGCTTAACCCATTCGTACACAAACGATCTGGTACGAATGCAAAACAATTGTCGCACGCAATTAAGTCATGATGATCAACACCATCACTATCAATTGTGCTGTTCGCATCCACTATATACACTGTATTCAAGTCAACGAAATAAAGTTTATCACGTTCAACATTATAAACTAGATTGTCTGAGGTCAGATCGGTTATATATATGCGATATCCTTCAAAGCCATTTGTAAATATTAAAGCTGCCTCAAGTAGTTGCCTTACGATTCGTAGTTTAATTTGAAAATCTGCCGGGTAGAAGTGCTCCACCGTCTGTCCAACATGCTCTTGATAAGCGGTAAATCCACATATACCAAACGTTTGCGGCACTGGAAAGCCATGCTTCTGCAAATAGGGTTGCAAGAACAGCTGCGCATTAGTGAGCATAAACAACCAAACCGTTGTTTCGTTGTAACCACTCGTGGTGCTGAAAAAGTTTACAAAACGCTGTATGCTTTCATGGGGACAGAATTGAAAGTCTAAGCTCGGTGCTTGCAGGTGGAACTCTCTCTTTAATAGTTCTCGATTTAGCGGAAAATTGAGAAGTTTTATAAATTCCAGACTTTTCGGATAGCTTTTTGCTATGATTTTGTTAACACCGCTTTTGCTGCGAAATATCTGAGTTTTTCTGCGACTTCCGGTTTTGGCCAACAAATGGCTAAAAATATTGTGTGTACTCGATTGGTAATCATATTCTAAACTTTCGAATATCACTTCACACTGTTTAATTTGACTTTTACTATAAATTTGTTCAAGAGGATAACGCTTGAATTCGTAGGTGTGTAGTTGTTCCAAGAAATCACGTAAATTTAGAACAAATATGAGGAGTAAAAGAAATTTATTACTGTACAAATGACGTAAAATCAATCCAAGCATAACTGAAATGAAAGAAGATTACAGTAAATTGGTAAAATACATATGTCAGATAGAACAGTTAGTTATTCCTAGGACTTAAGGAAAACTGAAATTTATAAAAAATAAGCGATCCTAATGGCACGGAGGGCACAAAGGCTCATCTCGATGTCCAGGAGGTTTACCTATCCCTACATGTCTTTATACCATCCTGATTTTCTACTGAGTCCTAGCAGACCCTCTAATAGTTTTCCTTAAGCTGTACAGTTGCCTGTAGTTGGTAGCTACCAAAAGACTTTTTGTAAGCAAGTTAAATGTGTTGAACGCTGTCACCGTGACTTATGAGTTTTTGAGTCAAATTTATATACATATGCATGATTCAATAATAGAAAGGTTTTGTAATAAAACAGTATTCTCGCTCCCACACATAAAATCGGCTCCTTTACTTGTGCAGAATGTTGCTTACTCTATAGTTTCTAGTGATATTAGTAGTAAAACCAAAAATTCTTCATACTAAATATTCGTTGGCATCACCTTCGTTTGCGTAATCTTCTAGAACAAGTGTAGAATAGCGACCGTTTAGCTATAAAATAACCAAAAATGCCGATTGATAGAACTTTTTACGCTGACTTCAACGATACCAAATTTATTTGGGGCAGGTAAAAAATAAAGAAGATATAAGAAGTTTATTTGTATTTTTTATTATCACTAAATTGTTGAAACCCAAAAGTAGATCATGATAAAATATGTAATATCGAATTAAAGATAATAACTTGTACTTTCTAAATAATATAAATTTCTTTACCATTAATTATGCAGTTTTTTTTTCAAAAAAAGCTTATTTCATGAAAAAATAACATTTGTTCGTTTTTTAGTGGGTTTGGTTTAAAAATACAAAAATCTATGGTGAGGTCATTAGTTTTTTAATCGGTTATATAGTTCATAATATATTAATATTTAAAATATCTAAAAACTGAACTTTAACCTTCTAGAACGTCTTCATTTTTTGGTTGAAATGAGCATAAAAAGTTCTATTGATCTGCATTTTTCGTTTTTGCATAGCTGAACGGTCGGTATTCTAGATTTGTTCCAGGAAATGACGAATAACTTAAATCAAAAATGCATATTTTTATGTATTGTTTAGTATTTCCATTAAAACACCAAATATATTGCAAATTCGCATAGAATTAATAATACACATTTTACTTCTAATTGTATACTTTGCGTACTTTTTGTAGTACCATTCCACTACCGTTTTTGCAAAAGGCGATCACATTCTTCACCATTCTCCTACTTCCAAAATACAAATCTAGATAAAGGAGTGTCAAATTTTAGCTGTCACAAATTACACAACCTTGTATTATTGAATCATGATACATATGGGTATTTCCAAACTGGCATTACGTGACGCTCGGATGACAAAATGTAAAAAAAAAAATTTAAAAAGTCAAAATTCTAAAAAGGTTTTTCTAGATTTGCATAGCAATTAAATGTCCCCTTATTTAGTAAAAAAATTACAAGTGGAATTTGACTTCGGTTCCGAAATTGCAAAACTTTGCGAATTGGGCAAGACTATTTGTATAAAAGTTTTTGTAGTAATATTGGAAATGTTTAAGGTTAGTTTTCCAAGTATTTATATGTATGCTGTATGTACAATCAGCTGAATTATCTGACGTGACGTTACCTGGCGTTACGTTACTAAAATTTTAATTGAAAATGTTTTGTTGGTATTATTCTTGAAAGAAATTTTAACGGGAAAATAACATGCATTTTACGTCGAGCGTACTTTTTATTTTGACATCAGCGCCACCAGCGACTCCATTTTTTGCAAGTCTATGTCTTATTACGTTTCAACTAAACATACCAAATACGAAACAAATGAGAGCATAAATATGGTTTCGAAAAATATCTCGACCCTGGCGCCACCTAACGAGACAATTTTTGACAAAAATGTTTCTGTTTACATAACCAGTATGTATTATAAATAGCAGCCATATCGGTCTATAAATAAGTTAGGTTTTTAAATTTTTTACGCGGTAGACTTTTCGCTGGAATTGCCCATATGTAGGTAGAAGGTTCAATCATTAATGTGAACTGGAAATCCTAAGGAATTTTCATAGCGACTTTCGCATCCAAACTTACTGCTGCCACAAAAACATGTTATTTTAAAAACCTTTATATTCTTCGAAATCCACTGAAAAATAAGGTCATCTTCATCCGCATGTTGACCTTAAAACATAATACATATCAACAAACTACATACAACAGACTTGACGTTTAAAGGAGCTGTAATTCATGCATCTTTGTCGACAACCCGTTTCCACGCTAGTTGGCTTGATTGGCTTAATTCACCGATATGAAAAAGTGGCACACTTTGAGACATCGAAAGTGTTATATATCAGCTGAATCGATGCAGGATTTTGTAAACAAAAATACTCGGCACTAAGCATTTAAAGGATAAATTAAAAAAACCATTCAAATTCCGAAGTTAAGAACCATCACACAATGGACGATCCAGAAAAATCCGACCGAGGTTCATCTCCTCATCACCACCTAAATACCACCTGGCATCGATATACTCATCGGCGTAGCCAGAATGAAATTTAGGGGGGGGAGGCTCGACCCTATTAAGCTGGCATTTCAGGGTACTATTTTATATATATAAGTAAAATTTGAAAGTTAGGGGGGGGCTCAGTAAAGTCATTAGTAGTGCGGATTTTGTATTGGATCTTCCTAATCGAGTTCGGAGATGTTTGTGTTAAATATTTAGCGCCTCGTTCAAGATGCAATATGATTGCGTTGAACACCACTGGGCCGGGAGATACAAGGCAACGGAAAATACAAGAATATAGACAAAGAGAAATGATAAATGATAAATATTACGATAATAAAATGATAAATGATAAAACAAAAATATTAGGATAATGACAAAGGCAAAGACGCTGTCAAAGGCAACGACAAAGACAAAGTCAAATACAAAAATACAGAAAAAATAAAATTAAGGACAGGATGGAAATGCAGATGTAAATAAATAATAAGATAAAGATAAAATAAGGACAAAGGTAAATATCAAGATAAAGAAAGACAACGGCAAGACACAAACAAAGACAGAAACAACAAGACAAAATGTTTCCTATGAAGTTTCACTTCTTTTGTGCGTAGCGAGTACACCTACTCAGCTCTGTTCATAAGGTATTAATATGAAAACGACACACTATGCAGCGCCCCCATTTGATGGGTCCTAAGCGTTTAACAATTGCATGTTTTAACGACATTTCAGTTTATAAACAGTAAGTAATAACGAAACAAATCAGCTGGAAGAAGTCTTTAAGATATGAACAAATCCTGTTTCGCTTAAAATGCCACAAACATAAATGCATAAATACACATATACAGTAAACGTCAAAAATGTTTATACCCAGACGTTTTGACGACTTTATCTATGTATTTATATTTGCCATACCAAATTTTTCTTATTTCTATATAAAAATATAGTTTATTCAATGACAAAAAACCCCAGAATCATTTTTTTTTTTAATTTCATACAGAACGTCTGTGAAAGCTAATATCCTCTATATTTATGTACATATGTACATACAGTCAGCGTCAAAAATATGCATGCCCTGACGTTTTGACGATTTTATTTACTTATATTTTCCATACCAATTTTTTTTTTTGTATAAAAATATAGGGCACTCACATCAAAAACCACAAAAATCAATTCTTTCACTTTCATACAGAACTCGAGGGAAACTGCAAGGAATACCAAGAAGTTTTCATCGAAATTTTCTAATTCGATTTCTTAGAAAAATTTTTTAGTGAAGTGAAAAGTTTCAAGTCGCCAAAAATTACCGTTGAGATTTGATAATTTTTTTCTCCGAGGGTGTTGCGTACCTTCATTCATATAAAAATTATTGTGTTCATGTGTTATATGAAAGGAAATGCGCAACACCCTCAACAAAAGACAAATACTCAAAAATCAACGGTAATCTTTAGCGACTTTTAACTTGCACTAAAATTGCATGGGCTACACAACTGCATACTGAAATTTGTTTAAAGAAATCGAATTGAAAAATTTAAAATTTCGCTGAAAATTTCTTGGTATTTCGTGCAGTTTCCCTCGAGTTCTATTTATATATAATTGAAAAAATTTGTTCTTGTGGTTTTTGATGTGAATGCACTATATTTTTATACAAAATTATAGTTTAAAAAACTAAAACCTCCCTATTATAATTGCCATTCGTACTGTCATCAGGTATGTAACTTGAGAACAGAAATCGCTGCATCTTTTAGGCGCATCAATATTACATAGTTACATCCCGAGCTAATAAAAGGGAGGTAAAAAAGAGGAATTGGAACACGGAGAAAACACTATGGATGTGATATCCATAAAAATTGATAACACTGTCCTATCCATTAATTATGGAAAATATAAGTAAATAAATTCGTCAAAACGTCAGGGCATGCATATTTTTGACGCTGACTGTATGTACATATGTACCTACATAAATAAAGAAGGTATTAGCTTACAGAGATGCTGCCATCGTAACTCCTTTCCACCTATCATTCGCAACGCTCTTCTGCCCGAGTCACTGACTTTTTTATTTTAGCTCGATACTTTGGCTCATTGCAGCTATTACTTGCTGCTGGTTATGGTAAGTCTGACTTTGGAATGTATGTAGATAGTTGTGCTCGTGCAGGTACAAAAATAATACCAAAAGAAATTGAGAAAATGAAATACTAAACGTATGCATGTCAGGATGACTACGAACGTTGCGCCAGCGCATAGTTCAAGGTTGTTTGAAACAAATAAAAACGGGAGAAATAAAATTATGAAAAGAATGAATTTATAAATTCTTGGTCATATCGAGAAATATTTCGCTGTCCTGAAAAAGTGTGCTGTATTAAATTTACTACATTTTATTGTTGATAAATGTTAGTGGGCAACTATGCATTGGGTAATAAGTTGAACCTAAATAATCAGCATATTTTAACTCATCCACAAGTTGAGCCTAGGGTTGTTTTC